AAAAAAAATTGGAATGTAATGAATAAAAATTATATCATAAATCAACGAGTATTAACAAATACCAAAGAATTAAAAAAAATTACCTATGAACATTGTTTCAAAATCATAAATATATGAAGGAAAAAAACACGAGCTCGATAATAAAAAAAAAGAAATAAAGAAAAAACTTATTCGACTTCTTCAAATTCTTTCATAACTTCTTTGCTCATCATCATGTGTGTGTGTTTTTCTAGCAAAGTGTCCAAAACTATGAAAACTCCCCATAAGCATTCTTAATATTTCTTAAATAGTTGGAGTCGAGTCCTAGTCGAAATACACCAAAAAAATCTGCCAAACAAGAAAAAATGCATTCGGGGCACGCCCAAACTCACACATATCGTGTGTATTAGAGTTGTATTTTATATTTTATATTTTGTCCATCACTAGAATAAAATATATTTTAGGTCATCTCATGTATTTTATCATTATGCTTAAAGTTGCTATTATATCAATAGCAACTCTTACTTTAGCATTCAGATTCCCATAGTATAAATACCCTGAGACATGTAACCCTAATCACTTTTTCTCTTCATCAATAATATCGCAGTCTTTACTTTCTCTCTCTAGCTCTTACTCTCTATCTCGTGTTCTTCCTTTTCTCTTTGATTTCATCTGCAATTTCATAAACAAACATGGTATCAGAGGTCACAAATCTTTGATTTGTGACTGATTTTTGCTTCCGCACATACAATCTTCATATTTTTTTGGATCGATTTTCGATATTTTTTTTTTTACTGGTTTGAAACCCTAGATCTGCAACACAAATCGGATGGCGACCAATACAAGTCTCACCGACGACATCTCATCACCGTTCTACCTCCACGCCAGCGACAATGTTTGTTGTGTTTTTGTCCTAGGGGTTTGCGTGATTATGCATGCTTTAGGCGTATTTTTTTTCGTTTAGTTGTGTCGTGGACCGGTTTTGTTTGTTTATATGTGTTTGGTGTCGATTTCCCCATATGAGAATTGATGTGAGTCCAATTGCTCGGAATGACTAAGTGGCTAGATTGGATTGTCGTTTGTGTTCATTATTAACTCTCATGCTTTATGTGCTCAATGATTTTGACGGTTTTTATAAAATGGAATGATTATTTGTTAGCATTGGAACTTGCATGTGAATTCACGAGACTTTCTTGTCC